CATAATGAAATACACATCTCCCGTTCATTACACACAAACGACATGTAGATTCTATGTCATACGAAGCCACATTTAAATCTGCGTGACACTTATTGGCTCATAAATATACCCCCAAACCCACTCGAATAATAACAGCTATGGATACAGAGACAGTACCTAGTATATTCCAGCCCACTGGCTCTGATTGACATTCACATACAAGGACAATGGCAGGCTCTGAATGCCGAACATTTGTCATGCGTCAATTGTCCGTGAAACGTGACGTGGTGCCAGGAACAGGTTGCATGCCCGGTGAATACTTCTTAAGTGGACATGACTTGTATTTATGGCATTATATTACAGTATGTTCTTATTCATGGTGTATGTTTCGGTGAGACGCGTGTTTTTATTGTATTAGGGCGTCTGTTTATTATCCAAGAGTAGTTGCGTGGTAAATGCTATCTGTGTCCCAGGCTTCGGTGTCTCTGTGTCGTCAACGTTGCTAATGATGCCGTGTGGAGACGTAGTAGCATTTGTGTTGTGGGTGTGTAGATGGTTTGTAATGTCTGACCTGGGTTCGTATTTATAGAAAGTTTGATGTGGTATATACTCTTGTTCTCGCCCCCCCTGATGTTCAAGTGAGTGAGTGAGTTTAGTCTTACGCCGCACTCAGCAATATTCCAGCTATATGGTGATGTTCAAGTATTTGTCTCTCGTTTATTGGTTGTTTCAGTCTGTATTTGAGAGAAGTGGAGTACATTCGTTTTACCATTTTCCCAATTTTTCATCATCACACCACCATCATCATCCTACTGCTCCTTATCAACGTAATCATCATCATCATCATATCATCCTCATACTACTCCTTATAAATATAATCATCACCACCACAGCATCATCATCATCAGCCCCGTTCCATTGCAGCTTCTAATCTAGCAGGGGCGGTGGGGTAGCCTAGAGGTTAAAGCGTTGGCTCGTCACGCCGAAGACCCGGGTTCGAATCCCCACATGGGTACAATGAGTGAAGCCCATTTCTGGTGTCCCCCGCCGTGATATTGCTGGAATATTGCTAAAAGCGGCGTAAAACCATACTCACTCAGTCAGTCAGTCAGTGTTATCTAGCATAGTTATTCCAAGACATTCTGCCATTTGTCAATGACAGAGATCAAATCAGCTGTCTGCCATTATTTTCATCTGAATATCGTTGTGTTATAGTAGTGGTCAAATCACATTTTCTGGAATATCACATTTTCGACCCTTATTGATTAAACACGATCCGAGACATTGTATTGTAATACAAATATCATCACTGACGTCAAACATACACCGTAATTGCCGCAACATTCAGTGATGTTGCAATACTAACGTCACGACAGTCACAGCATCTCATTGCTGGCGTCGAAACTGTTTTCTTCCAGTACTTTAGACTCCTGTCTCACAACAGGTAATTGTGGAGTGAGGATTTTAAAGAGTAGGGGCCTACCCCATTTCCCTGTCTGTGTCCAATTGAATTAACCACACGGTTCGTGTTCGGAAAATACAAAACATCAATTTAAGGATTTTACACTGATAAAAGCGGTACAAAACATATTTGCCATATTCAAAAGTCCATATTTACGATTTCGACTATATCATAACCATGTATAAATGACGATATCACGCGTTCTCAGACCCGTGAAATTCTGGGGTAGAATTATTCTTGAGTAACCCATGCTTGTCTTAAAAGGCAACTAACGGGATCGGGTGGTCAGACTCGCTGACATGGTTGACACCTGTCATCGTATCCCAATTGCGTACATCGATGATCATGCTGTTGGTCACTGGATTGTCTGGTCCAGACTCGATTATTTACAGACCGCCGCCATATAGCTGGAATATTGCTGAGTGCGGCGTAAAACTAAACTCACTCACTCAGTCACCCATATATACTATACACAAGGAGCAATTTCGCCCTGTAATTCCACTTGATGAAAAAACAATAAGCTATTTCAAATCCAATTTTGAAATGTCCGTAAACAAGAACAGAAGTAAAGAGTTTTCCATTAAACCTGTCAGAAAAATCAAACCCAATTCTGCGCATGCGCGCCACGTAGTTTTAGATCAATCCACTGTCGCCAAAGTCAAAGCGCTGTCATTGCCGATATTGGTTATCTAGCGTCGATGTTCGCAATACAACAAAAAAACATTATTAAATGCATGTTCACGTCCAAACGAGCAGTTTCCCTTGAACAAGGAGATACCTCGCTCCTTGTTCAATTTTGAAATTGCCATTCAGTGTAATATAAAACCAGACACAAGTAGGAATTATTTTAACTGGACTTCATTTTCACTTTACAATCGATTCCCATGTTCTCGGAATGGACTTTAAGTGTTAGACCTTTTTTTCTCATAAAACCGCCCTTTCACAAAAAGAATACTAAATGATTTTAAAGTATTGCATGACACAGAGAAACAACTGGGACGCCGCAATGAGCTTCTGTTGGGACTAATGAGGCCTATCCTCCAGCGCATCAGATGTTTATATGAACGCCGCATTTTATCACAAAGACAAGAATTTCTAATTGTAGGCTGTAAGGCGCACAGTAAGAAATCACATTACTTTAGCTGAAGCATCCTCTCAGGCATTTGCCACTCGTAAAACAAATCTACAGCTATAAGCTGACTGTTTTTGGACGAAGCATCGATGAGAGAAGATTTTATGCACAAGTTCCTAATTTTTAATACTGGGTTATTTAAAGGAAGGTGGTCTGACAACGAATAGCGGGGAATATTTGCCAATAATGAATGTGTGAATGTGTATGGGAGAGATGGAGGATGGAACGAGCGTCTATGTGGCTGCTGAGGTTGGCCGCAGTAATTCCGAGCAGGCAGAGTAACATCAAGTACCAGCTCTAACGTCGTTCAGGGACGGTGGGGTAGACGAGTGGTCAAAGCGTTCGTCGTCACGACGAAGATCCGGGTTCGATTCCCCACATGGAAACAAAGTGTGAAGCGCATTTCTGGTGTCCTCTGTCGTGATATTGCTGGAATATTGCTAAAAGCAGCGTAAAACTAAACTCACTCATATGTTTTTTATGTGGATGTCGCGTTGGCTGAGCGGGTTAGGCGGCTGACTTTGTGTGCTGGCGATTAGCTGCCTGACTCTGAGGGTGTGGGTTCGAACCTCGAATGGGACTCAACCCAACAAAAGTACTAGAATCTGTACTTTACTAAGAAAGTGTAATCCCAAATATAACATTTGTTACATGTTAAATTCACTCACTCACTCGGTGTGTGGTTGGACGTTACACTGAATCGAAACACAACTACCCGCTCCACTTGATGCTCTGGGTCGGTTTCCGATACGAGCACATACTGTTTGTTAAATTTGCTTTACCTAACTTGAAACCATTTGACTGCGTTAATGGATAGAGCGCCAAATTAGCATCCCTTATTAAAAGACTGTTTCAATTTCAGACATGACAACGTCTAGACGACCGTAAAAAAGCCGCGGCATTACGGACAGAATTTCTCATGTAGAAGGTTACTGTCCATCTATATTAACTTTGGAGCAATATGGGAATGTCACTTTAGTGCCCTTTTCTCATTAATGTCTGATGAAAGAAATCTAAATAGCCGCTCGCTACCAGAACTACACATATACGTTAAGACAGGAGTGAGTGAGGGGGCTGAGTGGCACCGCTATGAACAAATGACCAGTTATGTGACGGCGAGTCAGTTGAATGGAGTGGGTGAGTGAGTTTAGTTTTCGCCGCACTCAGCAAGATGTATCCGCCCCTGTGACACTCCTACAATAGCACTGGCGACTCCGAGACTTGCGTGATGCCACTGATGGCTTTACACTTGAATCGGGTATGACTTTGAGCACGCCTTTGCTAAGACAACTTTGACTGCAATTATTTAAATGCTAGGTATGATGCAGGATTCAAACCACCGACCTTTCACTCCCCGGTAGGTGCTATATCCACTGGGCCATCGAGTGAAGGAGTGTGTTAAAAATGATACGGGGAGATTACTTCGCGAGGCGATTCGTTTTCGCAATATTTGAAGGGCGGAAGTGCTTCAGCTCCACTGCATCACATCCATCAAAAATCACTGTTAATGTACATTACGCGACGCCGTTTCGCTGTAAGGAGCTTGAATTTCAGAAATCATTTGGATCAGACAGGTGAGAAAAATGTCATTTGCCTTGACGACGAGTGTATTTTTCCATTTGTCCACCGCTTCAGGAAGACACATGCAAATTTATTGAAATGTAATTGAAATTGAAGAACTACACGAGGGAGGCAGAAATAGATCTCTACAGCATATAATTGCCTGTCTCGGGTATATTATTGTTATCATATCATTGGGCGTAAAAGATAAAATGCCTGTGACAATTATGTGAATAGATATCTGTAAAATCATTGACAATTCAGTCATCGTAAAAAGGGTCAGCATATAATGCCCTCGAGTTAGTACATCTCACTCTTGTAATTTTCCCTAAAAAGGTTATTGTCTGTCTCCTGATGCCGCATTCATTGTCAACATAATTGTCAAGAGATAAATGTGTTCAAGATAAATGCCAAAGGGGCAATCGTTTGTTTGTTGTTCAACGCCGCACTCAGCTGTCAACCAGTGTGACGACGGTCTGTAAATAAACGCGTGGACGAGACAATCCAGAGACTGACGTCATGATTGATCTACGCAGTTGGGATACAATGGCATGTGCGAACCAAGAAAGCGCTTGATCACCCAATCCATTCAAAACTCTCTTGAGTTAGTGAGTGAATGAGTATGGTTTTACGCCGCTTTTAGCAATATTCCAGCAATTTCACGACGGGGGAAACAAGAAATGGGCTTCACACATTGTACCCATGTGGGGAATCGAACTCTGGTCTTCGGCGTGACGAACGAACGCTTTTACCACTCGGCTACCCCACCGCCCAAGGAGTCTCTTGAGACTCGCATGGGTTGCTGGAGACCAGTGTTAATCCTGATCTAATAAGGTAAATGTATATGCAAGAAATAGCTCTACTCACTTGAAATGAAAACTTCCATTTTTGTATCCAAAAAAAGGCACAGTATATGTCATCATCCAAATATTCCCACCGCCACAGTCGAAGTATGGCAGACTCCAATGGCCGTCTCCGTACGTCACGGTGATAACGCTGTCGTTCAGGAAGGGCCCGTGAGTTGTTTGGTTGTAACGCCATTGTTCAGTGCCTGAAACAGACAAAATAGATCTCCAGGAAAAAAATACACGAAGTCTTGATAAACAAGGTGTCCAATCTTTTAAAGGCACCGCCCTGATTAAACTTTTTTAACGGTTTCCAGCAAGGTGCCAGTTTCACTAATGGTGCACGTTTAAGATCGGCATCACTTCGAGCTCTCATACAAACACCGTAATATACTTCAAGCGACTTTAAACCAGCTCACTCGCTAACTGTAAAAATATTTTGACCCAAAACGCGTCAATGGTATGGGGCAAGGAGCGCGCATTGACTTGTGTTTATGATCTAAACACATTTTTATTGTGTAAACAAACCAAATATTCGATGAATCAATTAGTTGAAAAAAGGGCCCAGCCACCTGTCTCTCGGTTTGAAGTAGTTGTAAAAATATATATCTCTCAAACTAAAGATGCGTAGACGAATATAACCAACTGTAAACGTGTTTATGTAAAATGCCTGGACTTTTGCAGGAATCAAACGAACCAACAACTGATGAACAAGGCTATTAAAAAGGAAATAAAAATGACATCTATTTCAACGCTGAAGGAAAAGGAAGCTTTCACATTGGACAAAAAGCTATTAAAGAGGATAAGGCGCCACAAATGGGATACATTTGGAATCAATATGGCAACGTATCACAGAAGCAATCCATCGTGAAGGCAGAACGAATCAACTGAACGAACGTGATTACATTTGCCATCATTACTAAATAGTGTATCGCCAAAAGTTCAACATTGTTATATCACGCGTTACATTATATTGATATAAGGCCTTGAAAAGTTAAAAACTGTGTCTTGTTCTAGTGGGGGTGGTGTTAGTATGAACACCAACGATAGAGAATAACCAGACTCGGTTATCCGAACGTAAATGGAAAATAGGGGTGAACAATATCTGAATGGATTACTGAAAATCAGTTATGAAACCAGGTGTTCGCGAAACAGGTGTACGTACCTATAGCACCCGCCACTCAAACATTTTGAATTTTTGGTGTCTGAAACTCCTTAGCAGTCATCCTGACATGTTACGGCATCCATCCATGTATGGAACAATCAACGAGGTTGGTTTTATTCGGTAAAACATCCGGGTTTTTCGTGTTATGTATGCCCGTCCATGCTGCCCGGGTGTTAACGGAAGCGTTACCTCAACTGTATGTGCCTCAAAGTCTGTTAACCTTTTAAATTATATGTCTACTGTCATAACTAAAGCAAGACAAAATATGACAGATTATTTTTAACATTTTGGTTTGACCATGGCCATCCGCACTGAAGTGAAACACAGACGCCATTTTCAAATATTCTGTATAAATCATTGTGAAAGTATTGTGAATGGATAATTTGCCATTGAGGTGTCCAATGACCGATGACGCTCAGAATAATACAACGGCTCTGTATGTTGTAGAGACACAAGACCAACCTCACAAATTGTTAAATATCATATTTGCTGATTGTGATGCAATATATTTCTTGTGGTAAATGGTGGGAATGGACCCTACGGCCCCCTGGTGTTGGCACTTCCAAGGGACGCAACTCTTCAATCGAAGTGAGGACTGCTATCGCCAAACGTACGTACGAAATAATATCAACATCTTGAACAAAGATGATTCGTCCACTGAATTATAGTAGGCTTATCATCAAAAAGGGACACACCATTCTATATTTTCGTGGCGGGTATATATCTTGTTTTCAGCTGCAGCTGCAAAACCATATATGTTTCTAAATTAGAAACTATGATCCTGAATATGAATTGAAGTAAAAGAACTTGACGAAATGTAATTCTCTCGGCAGACAATATCACGTTTTGTTTGTCTGAAGCACAATTATTAGGACAATTAATTATTTCAAGGACAATAAATAGTATTAATTATTTTCGATAAAATCCCCGTCAATATGCAATTGTCAGTACCAAGGGATGTGTTTCATTACTATAATCTTGAAAAAGAAATACGAGGCGATATCAAAATTTCATTAATGTACATCGCTCGAGAGAACATTCTTACATATATCAACTCAATATAGGAGGCAAGGGCATCGATATTACCAATTCATATTAATGTATGCAATTATTCTGAAAAAAAAAGTATCGTCGAAAAATAATGATAAAAAAATATTTCTGGAGAATTTCTAACAAATTGCTTCTTGTAATGAATGCTTCAAGACAGTCGTTCTATGAATTCTTCAAGACAGTCTTGGTATGAATGCTTCAGGAGGGGGTTGAAATGGAGGTCCAGTTGTGACTTCTTTAGGCTGACATTCAATGAAATCGATGGATGTTTCCATAAAGAATATCCCATCTCTGGAAGCCTGGAAATGAAATGATCTGAGGTGATCCTCAGGGTATATGGTAAGATCTTCAAGCCCAGAGGCTGAGCAACCGTATCAATCTTAATCAATTAGGCGAATGCACAGAGGCACTTCATCATGCCTCTGTGGAAAATGTCATAATACATAGAGGTTGATCGTATAATCATCAGAACGGATTGTCTCGTATATCATAGCTCCGGAGATCCAGTTCGGCGTACTCTGTCGTCACAGCAGAGCTTGTCGAATTAAACACTGATTACCTATGTATATATTTCAGTCGCTCATAAAATCTTTTGTTCCTGGGGCATTGTGGAATTGATTATAAGAATCATGTGACCTGTCAGTTGAAAACAATATCACATTATTCAAAGTAAAATCGTTTGAAATATTATTCAGATTGAAAAATAATTCATTTGAGTGCCTTTAAATTGTATATCATTTTTATCATGGCGGGTCTGCTTCATTTGGGAGGGAAGCCCGAAGGCGATTCGGGACCCGAACCCGTGACTTCAGATATCACACACGCCTAAGGGACGCAACTCTCAACTGACATTTAGAAAACTGACTTACCCGCTAAAAAATTAAAACACTTTGAGTGTAGCCGTACCATACTGGATTAGTTGGCTTTCTTTTCCATTAATATGAAAATAATTAGTTGTGTTATTTCTGTGTTTAACCTCGTAAAAGCCAGATAATTTTGTTAAAAATTGTTCTTTCATCTACAAATTAACATTCACAGACCGTTCACCTACTCTACAAAAGGCAGGTGTGATGTTTAAACAACTCCGCAAACTTAAGTTATCAATATCTTATGAAATATGTATCCTTGTTGCTACGTTTCACAACGCTTCAAACCAAAGAAAAAAAAGCATCAAAGAAGTTTTCGTCGGCACTGAAGAAAGATTCTAAAGTATACCCACAGACGTGTTTGCTTAAAATAACACAGGGCACAAACATTAACCTTGTAGTACGTATTTCAAACTTGATATGAATACGAGATAATTTCCTCAGCTAAAATTTATATTTAAAAATAGTCAAGAACTATTTTCCCCTGGCATCAATTATGCAAGTTTTCTTGCCTCTTTGATTCAAAGAAAGGATGTGTAAATAGTCTATACATTTATCTAATCGTCGACTGCTTGCCATAGTATGACGCTGTGCTAGACGCATTGCCGCAGCACCATGCTCCCCGAGGACACGTTGGCTCCGTGAGTCTGTCACCACGTCTCTAAGACGTCACTGATGATGCTGCGAGCGATTCACACAGCTTTGCAGAGTAAGTTTAAAATTGTCATCACGATTTTTAATATACCAAGAGAGAGAATGCCGACTGGGTCTGTCTATTTTATACGAGACCATTCCCGTGTGTTAAAACGATGGCCGTGAGAAATCGATTAGTTTATACTATATTTGATTTCCTGGAAAACAAGCAGAAATTACTGACTTGCCTCTAAAGATATATCCGCTGTGGTTTGTACAGAAAAGGGACATGATGTAGCTGAGACCGGAAGTAGATGAACGTGGACGAGTAAAACTGGCGGTCAGTAGCGAGAGCATCGCCATGGTACGAGGAAACACAATTTGTTAAGGTTGGAGCTAGAGATGATTACGACATTGCAATCAACCCAAGTATTATCGGCCGTAAATAATCGCATCTGTTTGAGGGAAACAAGTGGTGGCTCGCGTTAGTATTACTGAGGTTCGAGGACACAGCTATATTAGTGAGTGAGGTTAGTTTTACGCCACTTTTAGCAATATTCCAGCAATATCACGGCGGGAGACACCAGAAACTGGCTTCACACATTGTACCCATGTGGGGAATCGAACCCGGGTCTTTGGCGTGACGAGCGAACGCTTTAACCACGAGGCTACCCCACCTGCCCGCAGCTAGAATAATCCTCCACTATCAATCCAAAAGCCATGTCCTGGCTAAATGAGCATGGCATTCTGTAGGTTACAGTTCTTCATAAAATTAAGCCCACTCAAACACAGCAGCCATTTAAACCTTCTGATCAACACCGACGCGACTTCCAGATCCAACTGTAGCAGTGGAGTTGCATAGTGGTTAAAGCGTTTGCCCGTCACTCCGAAGAACCCAGTTCGATTCCCACATGGCTGGAATGTTTGAGACACTCGTCCGGTGTCACCCCTCACCGCCGAGAGATTGCTGGAATATTACTAAAAACGTTGGAATGAAAATTTAGGGCGGGAGACGAGAAACAAATTAAAATACGGACGGCCACAGACAATTGTATCTTTTCTCATGCACGTGACTACCCCATGTTTCTTTGTCTTCACCTTCAAGTCCCTGAATACATATGTTAAAATAGCGTTACAAAAGCAAATCGATCTTCCACCCTCGGGGGACAAGTGGAATAGGTTTCAAGACTCATGCTACCAATATGTAACAAATGATTCTCAACTGTTTCCAAATGTCATTCGATCCCATTGAAATAATATCCTTTACTGCCAAAACAAAACCTTGCCGAGATGTATCTTATCGGAGTTAATGTGTTTGTAAATATTCACCGCTCTTGTTACGCCCAAACAAATCTGTTTCGAGACTGGCTTGTCTCTGGTGCTGATGTTAAGTATTTGATGAGATTGAAACGTCTCACAGAAAGTTCAGTGTCTTTAACGATGATTTTCTTTGCATATTTTGAGACGAATATATGAATTGATTTGCTTATAT